TTGAGCTGAAGAGCTGAGGGACAGTGCCCAGGCCCAGAGTTCAGGCCCCATGACCAGATCAAAAAAAAAAAAAAAAACCATATGTTTTATAAAAAAACAACTAATTAGTTCTATTAGTTAAACAACTAATTTGTTCTATGTCCTAAACTGTCCTTCAAAAATATGTCACTCAGCCGGGCACCAGTGGCTCACACTTGTAATCCTAGCTGCTCAGGAGGCTGAGATCTGAGGATCATGGTTCAAAGCCAACCCCAGGCAGGAAAGGCCATGAAACTCTTAGCTCCAATAAACCCCCAGAAAATGGAAGTGGTGCTGTGGCTCAAGTAGTGGAGTGCTAGCCTTGAGCTGAAGAGCTGAGGGACAGCGCCCAGGCCCAGAGTTCAAGCCCCACAATCAACAACAACAACAAAAGTCACTCTCCCTCAGTCATCTTTTATTTAAATTGATATTATTTAGAATATGATGTGTGTGTGTGTGTGTGTGTTACTAAGGCTTGGATTCAGGACCTGGGTACTGTTCCTGAGCTAGTGTTTTACAACTTGGAGCCACAATTTCAGTTCTGGTTTTCTAGTGGTTAGTTGGAGATAAGTCTCACAGTTACTTTCCTGCCCAGGCTGGCTTTGAACCACGATTTTCAGATCTCCTCCTGAGTAGTTAGGATTATAGACATGAACTACTGGGTACCTGGCTGTTTCTACATCTTAAAGCATGGCACATTTAATTACATGTTATAACAAGTGGGGGAAATATAAGTTAAAGCTGACAGAATCTACTATTTGGGAATGGAACAAAAAATCAATTCAGTGGTATAATCTTCAGTGAGAAAAGATTATAAATCTATCTTATGTCATGAATTTTTTTTATTTTTATTTTTGCCACGGCCAATCTAAGGTCAGACTCATTCTGGAAATAATCAAATATACATTATTTTTTCCTTGTGGTCACTGATTCACACTCTCACTTTACCCCACTCCTTCTAGAACCTGCCTTCTTTACTACTGCATACCCACGAACAGATGTAGTGTATAATCCACTCAATAATATCACACTATTCACTAAGTTTTGGCAGTGAGTTGAAATTGGAGCTCTAGACCAAGTAAATACTGTATGTTTGGCAAAATCACTGGTGGTTGTGTTCTTCAGCACAGTTTCCAAGATAACCACCAGTTCCACTTGGCAACCTGACTTTCCCACAGCAAAAGCCCCAACTGTGAAGTTGACTTGGGAGATATTTTCCTGCTGTTGGTGTTGGTGCCATTGCTACCCTAAAGAACTACTAGGCAAGGATGGCATCTTGTTGAGAAAACATTATTTTGATGAACCAATACTGGAAGTTGGTCTAAAAGTTTTTGCCAATAGCCATGTTAGAAAACAATGATAATCAATATGATTTACTTGGTGATTTATTTTTTTAATAGAAAAGAATTTATTGCAAATACAATGGCTCTCACGTTACTTGGTAATTTATAAATCAAGTTATGACATCGATAAATAAGATGATACAATTATATTAAGGCAATAACAGGTGAAATTGCAATTAGAAACAATTAATGGCATTAAAAAACAGATCTATCAATATTTATAAAATATGAGGCATTCTTGCTGGGCACCTGTGGTTCCTACCTATAATCCTAAGAGGTTGAGATCTGAGGACTGAGATTCAAAGCCAGTCCAGATTGGTAAAACCTTTCTAGCCACCTAGAAAGCTGGAAGTGGAACTGTGGCTCAAGTGGGAGAACTGAAACCTTGAACAAAAAAGCTAAGGGACAGTACCCTGGCACCAAGTTCAAGCCCTAGGACCAGCGCGCGCACACACACACACACGTAAGTGCACGCACACACACACGTAAGTGCACGCGCGCACACACACACAGTTATTCTAAAATGCTGACATTCTGCAACATCTTGACATTTTATTTCAAGGTGATTTCATAAGAACTTAGTAATTTGCATGATGGAAAACAGTCCCTGCTAGGTGTGTCTATGAATCATAAGAAGGGCTTCTTAATGAGGCCAGCAAACAAGGAAATAGTGACACTTGCTTTACAACACTGTGTGGGTGGAGTCTTGGGAGGAACTGGTAGAGAATTTCTAACTCCAACAAGTGAAACCAAAACACAAACTCTAGACTTTGCTACCTAATGCAAACCCAGCACCCAATAAGGACTTTGGAAGTCTGTCATACCAAGTCCGCTGCAGGTGCATTTCACTTGTCTAGGAAGCGTGGAAGCAATGCTTACCTGGCAGCACTCAGGATCGCATGCCAGTGCACTGAAATATAAACTACCCTTCCCATTCCTGGCATAAGCCAAAACAAATGAAAGCCTGCAAAGGGGTTTTGGCAGATAACTGAATTTAAACAAAGCAAGTGACTTCTCTCATTCCAAGTTAATTCCTCATTAATGATTAAATTCAATAAAAAAAAACAATCAAAACAGTGCTGCAGTCTAAAAAGCACATGCTATGGATCTTTTTTATTTTTTATTATCTCTTCTAAAAGTCAATTGACCAAGTCAGGCCTGTGGAATGTTGGGAGTACTCAGAGGTGACTGACTAGCACAGGCGACATGGTAAATGAAGATCTGAGGTTACATCTTTTATAATAAACTTTTTATCCTAGACTTATTCAAATAATTTCTCTAAGAGAAAGCCTGACTTTTATTCAAACTGATCAATAAAACATATTCTCAGTTTGTTCGGCAAACAGTAAGCATTTATGCTAAAATCCTCAGTGCTTTCCTTATTAACTTACAGTAAATAAGAAGTAACCAATGAACTGTTCCTATTCTTGGAGATGACATCATGTGAAAGTACCTCCACTATCAGTGATTAAAGCCATGTTAAAACCACTTTGCCAAAAATCAAAATAGAGTTACAAACTGAACTCTTGAGGACAAATAGTTTTGGAAATCTAATTTATGTAGTAATGTCCATTTCGGTGCTTTTTTTATTTACCCTTTTAATCCAATAAATGTTTGCTTAAGTTTAACTCTCTAATTTTTTATGAACACCTTTCTGCTAAACAACATTTTTAAAAATTAGGATTTGTGGCATTGAAATTTATATTCAGTTCCCAACTGAGTATGAAACACACATGTAAACATGCAGAAGAATATAGCTCTCATTCAGTATCTCAACTTTCCATTAAAATGCAAATGTAATGATTTCATTAGCCAGGCAACAATACCCACAGCCATACATCAGACCCAACCAATATCTTTTCCCTGTAAATCCCAACTTCCTTAATATACACTCTTTTCCTGTATTGGATCGTTTGCCAATAAATACTTTTGTATTTGAATTTTGCCATCCTAATCCCTGGCTGAGGGGAGAAAAGTGCAACAATGTGTGATTTGCAATTTAAAAATCCATGGATGGATGGTTTCTATTCAGATTTGTTTTTAACATTTAAAAATTAAAACATATAAGAAATTTTTAAAAAGCTCGCTAAATTTTAAGTAAGCCACCTGAAAATAATCCTGTTTCAAATCAGAAACATTAGACAAGAGGAAAAGCAATCACTCGATATAATTAAAACCATGTCAGGAGGCTGGTTTCCAGCAAATCACACGTATTTCTGATTCAGGCCACACTTTATATTCTCCTAGGTAGAAAACTCTCTCCGTAGAAACTCTGGTAGGATAACCACACTAGACAGGCAATCCCAGTTTAAAAAAAGAGAGAGAGAGAGAGATTAAGCAAGAGGTGAGGAGTGGAGGGACACACAGACACACATACACACATACACACACACACACACACACACACACACAGAGGGAAAGACAGGAGATAAAAGAAAGGAGAAAGCAAGAGGCAAAGAGCAATTGGGATGGGACGGTAACCAATCTGTTCACTTCTTCTTTGCTGGAATGGCTTTCATGTCTTCGGACGCCCCTGACCCCTCAGTCCCGCAACTCTGTGCACCTCACACTCCCACCCCGAGCCTCCCCCTCCCGGGCCTGCGCCTGCCTTTGTGTCTGCCTGTCACTTACCGGGGAACCAAAACGGAGCTGCTTTCGGGAGAAGCACAAAGCCGGGACCCAGATTTGCCTTACAAATTCTCTTCCACTCCTGCCCCAGGTGGGAAGACACCGCACCCACACACTGCCCAAGGGACCTGCGGGAAAGTGGGTTCCGATCTTGTTGGGGGGACCTGAGAAACTATGCTTTTCCTCGCTCGCTCAGCGCCACCAACAAAAAGCGCGGACTTTGGGAGGTGGAGAGCAAAAGAGAAAACCCAGCACGCACGGCAGAACTCCACTCGGTGTCTTCCCAGCCCACGCTCCGTGACATCTGCTGAGCGCTGACCCCAGCGGGGGGACGACACGGGGACAGGAAGGGACCGATCCAAACCCAGACCCAGACTCCACAGCCTAGCAAGCGAAGAAGGGGGCAGAGGATCCCAGGACCCCCCTTCGGTGTTGTCTGGGGGGGGGGGAAGAGACCCGTTTGACTTACAAGAAGGAGATGGGGTGGGGGTGGTTTAAAGGGAAAAGTGGCATGCTCCCCCACACCCCCCGGCCGAACTAACTGAACAAGAAATGCAAAGCACAGAGAGAAAATACGAATCACTTTCCTGAAGCGTTAGAGGCCAGGAAAGCAGCTCGTGGGGAGGTATAAAGGTAAGTTTTTGTGGGGGGGGGGGACCAGGAGGGGACGAGCATTGGCAGGAGACAGAAGTGAACCCCGAAGTACAGGTTTAAAGGGGTTGTTGTTTGGTGGTGGGTGGTGGTGGTGGTGGTGGAGATTAAAACTGTATTTGTCAGCCATGTTGAAGAAGCTCCAGTAATTTGTGAAGCTTCCCCCTTGGTATTTGTGGGTGACATTACAAGGTCTGCTCCCCCAATCCCTGGAAGCCCAAGAGAAAGCGAGGTGGGGCGGGGGGGGGGGTGTGGGGGGAAGAGAGAGGGAGAGAGGGAGAGAGAGAGGGCAAGAGAGAGGGAAAAGGAGAGTTTCCTAGCCAGGAAGAGAGAGAGGGAAAGAGAGGGAAGCGCTCTGACCTCGTTCTCGTCCCCGAGCCTTGCAGCAATCCAGTCCTTGCAGTCGGGTCTCCTTTCTAACAAATCCTAAAGGGCAGCCATCTTGCTTCCTTCTGCTTCTCTACGAAAGCAGCCCGGCGTCCGCATCAATATTCATAAGGCAGTTTGACGTCTGTTCTCATCACTCGGCGGGGCCGGCGTCTCGGGGCGGCCGCCGAGGGGGCGGACGTGACTCGCATGCGAGCCGGGCCTGGGCGCACGGCGGCGGCCGCCCGAGCTGTCGCCTGGCGCGGCTGCCACGGCTGCGGGCTCTGGTCCTCCACCCGGGCCTCCACCTCCTCCTCCACCACCACTCCTCCTCCTCCTCCTCCTCCTCCTCCTCCTCTTTGCCTCTCCTCCTCCTCCTCCTCCTCCTCCTCCTCTTTGCCTCTCCTCCTCCTCCTCCTCCTCCTCCTCCTCCTCCTCCTCCTCCTCCTCCTCCTCCTCCTCCTCCTCCTCCTCCTCCTCTTTACCTCTCCTCCTCCTCCTCCTCCTCCTCCTCCTCTTTGCCTCTCCTCCTCCTCCTCTTTGCCTCTCCTCCTCCTCCTCCTCTTCCTCCTTCCCTCCTCCTCCTCCTCCTCCTCTTTGCCTCTCCTCCTCCTCCTCCTCTTTGCCTCTCCTCCTCCTCCTCCTCTTCCTCCTTCCCTCCTTCTCCTCCTCCTCCTCTTTGCCTCTCCTCCTCCTCCTCCTCCTCTTTGCCTCTCCTCCTCCTCCTCCTCTTCCTCCTTCCCTCCTCCTCCTCCTCCTCCTCTTTGCCTCTCCTCCTCCTCCTCCTCTTTGCCTCTCCTCCTCCTCCTCCTCTTCCTCCTTCCCTCCTTCTCCTCCTCCTCCTCTTTGCCTCTCCTCCTCCTCCTCCTCCTCTTTGCCTCTCCTCCTCCTCCTCCTCCTCTTTGCCTCTCCTCCTCCTCCTCTTCCTCCTCCTCCTCCTCCTCCTCCTCCTCCTCCTCCTCCTCCTCTTTGCCTCTCCTCCTCCTCCTCCTCCTCTTTGCCTCTCCTCCTCCTCCTCTTTGCCTCTCCTCCTCCTCCTCCTCTTCCTCCTCCTCCTCCTCCTCCTCCTCCTCCTCTTTGCCTCTCCTCCTCCTCCTCCTCCTCTTTGCCTCTCCTCCTCCTCCTCCTCTTCCTCCTTCCCTCCTCCTCCTCCTCCTCCTCTTCCTCCTTCCCTCCTTCTCCTCCTCCTCCTCTTTGCCTCTCCTCCTCCTCCTCTTTGCCTCTCCTCCTCCTCCTCCTCCTCCTCTTTGCCTCTCCTCCTCCTCCTCCTCTTTGCCTCTCCTCCTCCTCCTCCTCTTTGCCTCTCCTCCTCCTCCTCCTCTTCCTCCTTCCCTCCTTCTCCTCCTCCTCCTCTTTGCCTCTCCTCCTCCTCCTCCTCCTCTTTGCCTCTCCTCCTCCTCCTCCTCCTCCTCCTCCTCTTTGCCTCTCCTCCTCCTCCTCCTCCTCTTTGCCTCTCCTCCTCCTCCTCCTCTTCCTCCTTCCCTCCTCCTCCTCCTCCTCCTCTTCCTCCTTCCCTCCTTCTCCTCCTCCTCCTCTTTGCCTCTCCTCCTCCTCCTCTTTGCCTCTCCTCCTCCTCCTCCTCCTCCTCCTCCTCCTCCTCCTCCTCCTCCTCCTCCTCTTCCTCCTCCTCCTCCTCCTCCTCCCGGGTCTCCTCCTTACTCCACCCCGGGTCTCCACTCAGCTCTCCGGGGATCAGTGCCTCTGCCCCGGGGCGTGTGGGGGGACTGTACACTGGGGGAGCACGGTCGAGAGGAGGAGCGGAGAGAAAGTGGGGGTGCCCCGGATGCGTGCGGAGTGCGGTGGGGTGATGGGGGGGGTGGGTACCCAGAGTAAGGAAGATGGACCGGCTGGGGCCGGGGAGGGGGTGTGGATGCAGAGCCGTGCTGCGCTCCTTGCCCTGGTCCTCCCTTCCGTCCACTCTGAGCCAGCCGCACTCCCCAGAGCAGACCAGGGCCGGGACTATGGGAGTGATGGCGTGTCTGGAGGTGGAAATGGAGAGCGCTGATAGCCCTCTGAAACTTTTGCCAGGTCCCACACTCCGTCACCTTTTCTTTGTTCAGGGGGACCCACGCAGGCTCCCACTTCGCTCCTGCTCCCACAGCACCCTCTCTTCGCCCCAGGCAGGCCCCCCAGCATGCCCTCTCCTGATCCCCACCCTTCCCCACCCCCCCTTCCCTCCCCCCCACTCCAGAGCCCGTGCCCCAGCGACCTGTCACTGTCGTCTCGCTCAGCAGATGCGCTCCCCATCTCCGTCGAGGGCTTTGCCCCGTCGAGCTGTAGGGACCTGGGTTATTAACGTCTGCACACACTAGGAAATGGACTCACTCGGGTGGCTCACCGCCCGGTCCACCTTCTGTTTACTTTGGCCACGTGGACTGCGCAGGGGAGGGCAGCTGGCAGATCCAAGATGAGCTTCTCAGCACTGACCCTCGCGCCACCTCTCGCTAGTAAGAACCGAATCTGCACTTTCAGATGCCCAATTGTCTCCTGCAAGTTCCTCTGCTTCGAAGACATTTCCAAGTGTGCCGCTCGGTATTGGAGAAGCTGTTCTGTAAAGAGCAGAATTCCGAATGGCTGACCTGGGTGTGCTGACATTGGAGGGGGCGGGGTGGGTTCTGTTCGCGCGGCGGAATAGTTCTGCTCCCTTTCCTGATCATTACCATTTTGTTTGGAGGATGAGGTAAAGAACAAAGCTCTTAGGAATCTGAGCAGGTAGCAGTGTTTAGCATATACCCCCTCTCCCTTGAAGAAGTCCTCACACGGCCGAGTTTTTAAATAGATAATTTAAGGATATCTTTGGTGGAATCCCAATAACTCTTAACACCAATTGGACCATGTATAGCCCATCCCTAGAAAGGGGACTCCTGTAATTCCCTTAGGTATGAGGCCTTGCGGGGTGCTGGTGGCCCAAGCCTGTAATTCGAACTACTCAGAAGCCTGAGGCCTGAGGATCACAGTTCAAAGCCAGCCCCAGCAGAAAAGTCTATGTGATCTTATCTCCAATAAACAACAACAACAAAAATTGCTGCAAGTGGAGCTGTGGCTCAAGTGTTAGAAGACTAGCCTTCAGCAAAACAAATCCAGGATTGTGCAAATTGGTTCAAGCCTCAGGATGGGCATGGAAAGAGAGACAGAAAGAAAAAAGAAAAGAAAAGGAGGAAAGAAAAGAGTAAGAATAAGAAATGAGGCCTAGTGTGGGGCTGGGTGGAGCACACCTGTAGTCTGAGCTACTACAGAGGTCCACACAGGAGAATCCCTTGACTCCAGGAGCTCTGGGGCAGCATAGGTAACATAGCAAGAGTTCATCTTCTGAAAAAAAGGTACAAGTGGGGAAAGATGGGTGAGAATATTTTAAGGGGTGACGTTGATTGATAGGCATTGTACTTATAATCTGACTTGTAGAAATGAAACACCTTTTCACAACTACTTACTAAAAACATAATAATAAAAGAAAGAAAAAGGCCAGGTACTGATGGCTTATATCTACTATTCGGGAGGCCAAAATTGAGCATCACAGTTTGAAGTCAGACTAAGCAGGAAAGTTCCTAAGACTCTTTCCTCCAATTAGCGAGCAAAAAAGCTGAAAATGGATCTGTGGCTCAAGTGATAGAGTGCCCGCCTTGAGTGGAAAAGCAAAGGGACAGTGCCCAGGTCCAGTGTTCAAACATATACATAACAACACACATAAACAAAAGAAAAGGAATAGACCTCATGATTTTATGAAGTCAAATTTTTTCCTTTGCAAAGTGTTTTTTAAAAAAAGACTCCCTTTCTGTGTTACATTGTTACCAAGAAGGCTGTCTCAAGTACTTTGTAATGAAACATTGTATATTCAACTTGGAAACAATCTAATTTCAGATCTCGGGTAGACTGTTTTGCCCCAAGCAAAACTATTTTTCCCTAACCATTTTATCTAGACTTGGATTTTCATCACTTCTAGCTGTTCACTAGTGTGCTATTAAGGTCTTAATAATATTTCCCCCCCCCAGGGCAGAGCCTGGACACTCCCTGAGCTACTTTTGCTCAAGGCTAGCACTCTACCACTTGAGCCACAGCGCCACCTCTGGCATTTTGTGTGTATGTGGCACTGAGGAATGGAACCCAGGGCTTCCTGCCCACTAGGCGAGCACTCTACTTAATCCACACACCCAGCCCTAATAGTTGTTAATGCACCTTTTCTTTTTTGCAGTAGCAGGGCCTTACATTCTGCTTAACACTTTACACTCTTAAGACATAGGCCACACACCTTACCTCCTTCCCCTGGCCTTGTCCCTTTCCCTTGCCCTTTCTTGTTGTTTTTTTGTTTTTGGGTCCGTTCGTGGGGCCTGAACTCTGGGCCTGGACACTGTCCCTCAGCTCTTCAGCTCAAGGCAAGCACTCTACCACTTGAGCCACAACGCCACTTCCGGCTTTTTTTCTTTTTGCTTATGTGGTGCTGAGGAATCAAACCCAGGGCCTCATGCATGCAAGGCAAGCGCTCTACCACTGAGCCACCTTCCCAGCCCCCCTTGCCCTTTCTTAATGAACCTTTTTGTTGTTTTCCAGTAGTGGGGCTTAAACTAAGGAACGGGGTACTGTCCTTTAGCTTTCTCACTCAAAGGTGGTGCTTCATTGCCCTTGAGAAGGTCTCATGGACAATTTGAGGTACATTTATTTTATTTTATTTTTTGTCAGTACTGGGGCTTGAATTCAGGGTCTGGGCACTGTCCTTGAACTTCTTCTGCTCAAGGCTAGCACTCTACTACTTGAGCCACAGTGCCACGTCTGGCCTTTTCTGTCTATGTGATACTGAAAAATTGAACCCAGGGCTTCATGCATGCTAGGCAAGCACTCTACCACTGAGCCACCTTCCCAGCCTGAGGTACATTTAAACATAAGCTGTTTGAAGATTCTTTGTGATTTTTTTTCCAGTTCTAAGGAACAAAGTTCTCCAAAGATCACAGCATCCATTTATGTAGCAAACAGGATTGCAGAGTTATTGACAGCTCAGCTGTTGATCTGAACTGAGTGAATCTTGACTCCATCTCTTCCTGTGTGACTTTGACCCTGCTCTCTAGCTCTGTTTCGATTCTTCATCTGATATAGCCCCTCTTACACAAGGG